TAGGGCTGACAGCAGATGACGATGTAGCCTGCATGTGTGGTGTAAAACATGGTAATGAAACCACCAGTGCATTAGCTAATCAACAGACTATTTAATTAGGTAATGAACGTTATTATACGCTCATGCGGAATATTGAGTCGAATGCACATATAAATAGAGAGACAGACAAAAGTCAGAAATACTTAGTTCTTTCGAAATACTTTTTTAGTCCATCGGTCTCTGGGCCTTACGGATAAAATGGTCATAATCAGCAACCGTTTAAACAGGCAAAATCTGGATGAGTCAATGCTAGCTTATTCTACTTCAGCCTCAGGAAACTTCACTATCGGTCTGCAGACTTTCAAAGTCAGATTTCAGATAGTGCATATTTAAGATTCGTCAGATTTGGTGAAAATCCCCCAAAACTCAACGATCAACACCCAGTCCCAGATGATAAAAAACGCGAGGGGCTGTTTTGAACGGCACCACGGCGGGGGTGCCAAAACAGCTGTTGCCCTGTAGGGCGACAGCACCCGCCAGGTATTTTTGTTTTAATACTTTAAATAGTCACACCCTTCTCATGAGGCCCGTTCGAAACCGAACCAGGGTTTTTTTTTTATGCGTAAACAAGGCCATTGATTGATTGACTTAAATATGACTGTACCTAGTTGTCCATGAATCTGACCCTTCCCATGTTTATGTATTATTTACGCGTAAAGCTAACAGACAATCCACTGTCAGTTGACAAATCATTGCACGCGTATATTTTTAATACATTTTCCATAATTAGTGGCCTTCAACAACGCATGCGTTCCGTCACCATGTGATTATAAGCTACTTTTACCTTAGCTAACCATAGGCACTGACTCTTGCCTGCTGAGTTTTTGAGGGGTAGTTTGAGCTCGTAGGTAAAAGAAGAAATGCAATAATGCGACGAGTAACATTACATCCCAACTGCTATGCGAATTTAGCTCGTGGTCCAACAGGGGGTTGGGACCGTGCATACATTTATAAATATCCATCTTAATATTGAGCCTTACGGGCAAGGTTCAATCGCGTGTGTAAGAACAGACGTTTTAAATATTGATATGTTTACAAGTCGTTTGTTAACGGCATCTCTGCAGTCACTAGAGGCGCTACCATTCACCACAGTGATATCGAATCGCGGATAACATCACAGTCAGCGATCAATGTCTGAAACGGTCTTGGGTGCGCCTTTCATCAAGCCGCACTGACCAACGTGGTGTGAAGTATGGGTCAATTCGTAATCGCCGGCTCCTACTGCACAGGAATATTCACTACGGGCCTACACGACGGCCACAGCAGGAACTGCAACCGACTCTCACGCTTCACAAAGGATGATCCATTTAAAGATACTCTCTTTAAATAATAAAATAACATTCTTGCCTTTCACAGCCTCTACACCTCCCACTAAGTCCATACTGTGCACGTATTACATCTTTAACACTCGCCGGATACACCTTGTCCAGCATTTGAAGATGAGTCGGTCATCGTGTGGCAGCGTTCATGGTCCAAATTTGGTCAATAACATCGAAAATTACTTAATTGGAAAACACAAAGTAATCATCGTCCTCTACTGAGATAACTTGGTATGACCCTCCTATAAAAGAGTTGAGACTCGGTGAGGATTACCTGGGTAAACAAGCGTAATAATATATTTGTGGCATCAACGGATTTAACTGGTGTCATCTTGAATAATTTACATTTCAGTGGGGAATCTATACACGGCTCATCCTTCTGTATTACGAAACAAGATCATTAACGTCATTGTGGATAATTGTTCACAGCGACGCTAATGATTACTTTTGCCATGCATTATATAAGCTCGTGTCAAACCAGAACCCGCTATCTTTAAATGAGGTCATTTGCCTATCGCATCTGGCAGTTCAACCATCATTGATGCCTTCCCCCGCACCTCCGATTTCCTTCCCTCGGACCTTCGATTAGCATGGTTTGCTATGTACAGTGCGAAATAAGTTTAATATGCGTACAAGCAAGCTTGACTCTGCTGATGAGACACTTTATGTGTAGATATAATGAAATAACTCGACACATTTGTCAATAGAAACTGCCTTAGAAGGAAGGAAACAATATACAATAGGCGATGTTTCGGGGCATGGCCCTGTTAACTCACCATTACCAATTAATTTGTGCGTGCAAACATGTCCATATTTTGGTTGTATTTAATCAATGCCGCTGGCATTATTTACTTCTGTAGAAGGCCGTGGGGCTGATGGACTGTGTAACAAATCCTTTTTACGCGTGAAAAAACAAAAATATAAAAGGAGACGCCTTTGCTTGTCAATTCTTTAGGTTCGAAATGTAGATAATCTCACGCCCCGATTGGCCACTCTCACTCAGCCCAACGACACCGCCGTTCGCCACTCAGCGGCGGTTACATTTGCCAGGCCAGGTGCAGCAGGTCACGGGACAGACACTGGTTATGTGGTTTAGCTGATATGCCAGGCTAGGTGCAGGAGGTCACGGGACAGACACTGGTAATGTGGTTTAGCTGATATGCCAGGCTAGGTGCAGGAGGTCACAGGACACTGGTAATGTGGTTTAGCTGATATGCCAGGCCAGGTGCAGGAGGTCACGGGACAGACACTGGTAATGTGGTAGCTGATGTGCCAGGCTAGGTGCAGGAGGTCACGGGACAGGCCCAGGTGTTAAGGGTTGATTGATGTGTCAAACAAGGTGCAGGTCACGGGATAGACGCATGTATTGCATACCTATCAAAACATTATCAGTGCCTACCTTATTACATACTATTTGGTTCTATTCGGTAAAGTCACGTAGGTAAAAAAATAAAACAACAAAAATTACGATGTTGTTTTATTTTTTTACCTACGTGACTTTACCGAATAGAACCAAAGAGTATGGATCCTTGCAGTCACGAAAGCTTCAAATCTACCTTATTACAGACCAATTCAGACCTTACCGGCCACTCCGTGCCCTTATAAATCTCAACGTTCATCCGACAAAGTTCCATTACAAGGGAGAAACACAAACAAATACAACAATTGTTTGTCCGTATTGAAACGGCTGTACGCCCGTATGGACCCGATAACTCAATTTTTACCGTACAAGAATACGGGTAAACCGTATGGGTTTACACGGTATATGTTAGTGGTTTGACTGACGTGCCAGGCTAGGTGCAGGAGGTCAACGCGACAGACCCAGGCTTTATGAGTCGCCTGGCCGAGGTGCCAATCGGATGCTGCGCGACGCCACTTGACCCCCCCACCAACCCCACCGGGGTCACGCTCGCTGACGTCATCACGTTGCGTAACGTTTCTTGGGTTCGCTTTACATAACGCGGTTGCGTAACTCGCGGCGACGTGACGATTCGACTCGCTTTGGACGCCTACCGCCGAATCGTGGCGCGCGAGAGAATCGATCGTTGCGCCGCTCTTTGAGTCCCACACCAACCACGGGGTTTATTTTTTATTTATTTAAAGCTTTCGTGACTGCAGGGATTCATATTCGTTTTTATTATTTTATTATTCTATTGTTTCCCTTCTACGTGACTTTACCGAAAGACTTTACCGAAAGTCACGTAGAAGGGAAACAATAACATTTTTATTATTATTTTATTATTTTATTGTTTCCCTTCTACGTGACTTTACCGAAAGTCACGTAGAAGGGAAACAATAACATTTTTTATTATTTTATTATTTTATTGTTTCCCTTCTACGTGACTTTACCGAAAGTCACGTAGAAGGGAAACAATAACATTTTTTATTATTTTATTATTTTATTGTTTCCCTTCTACGTGACTTTACCGAAAGTCACGTAGAAGGGAAACAATAAAATTTTTATTATTATTTTATTGTTTCCCTTCTACGTGACTTTACCGAAAGAACCACGAATGTGAACCACGGGTTTGTCAACACAGAGTCACGGACGGCAACCCCCCTGCTGGGGGGACAAGGAATGCCAAGCTGATATGAATAGGACGTACATATTCTTGGGGCTTTCGGTAAAGTCACGTAGGTAGGTAGAACTACAATAATACATCACGACGTTTCGATCGCAACACAAGCAATCGTCATCAGGTGGGACAACCACAGCAAAAAAACCAAACGATTGCTTGTGTTGCGATAGAAACGTCGTGACCTGTTATTGTATTTCTACCTACCTACGTGACTTCACGTGACTTCACGTAGGTAGGTTAAAAGAAAATAGTTTTACATTTTGATTTAAAGCTTTCGTGACTGCAGTGATTCATATTCTTGGTTCTTTCGGTAAAGTCACGTAGAATGGAAACAATAAAATAATAAAATATATAAAACAATAAACAATTCTCACGACGTTTCGACTGTAACACAGTCATCATCAGGTGACTGTCGTTGGGTTTCACACCTGATGATGACTGTTTGCGTTACGGTCGAAACGTCGTGAGAATTTTATTGTTTTATATATTATTATTTATTGTTTCCCTTCAACGTGACTTTACCGAAAATAGTTTTTGTTATTTTATTGAGATACCTATCTACGTGACTTTACCGAAAGACCCAAGAATATGAATTCCTGCAGTCACGAAAGCTTTAAGTCAAAATACAACATACCTGTCAACCCATACGGTATGAACCCCGTGCCCTTATACATCTCAACGTTCATCCCACAGTCCCATCACAAGGGAGAAACACAAGCAAATAGACACAAAACATACATTTTGATGTAAATCTTTCGTGAATGCAGTAATTCATATTCTTAGCTCTTTCGGTAAAGTCACGTTTATTGCCGTTGGTTTTCACACCTGATGATGACCGTTTGTGTTATGGTCGAAACGTCGTGAGAATTTTTATTGTTTTATATATATTTTGTTATTTTATTGTTTCCCTTCAACGTGACTTTACCGAAAGAGCTAAGAATAAGACACAAAACATGTTTTTGCCCGTATTGAACCGGCTGGACACCGCATGGACCTGAAAACTACATTTCCCTGTGCAAGAATGCGCGTCAACCGTATGGGTTGACAGCTACGTGGGGTCATTATAATCACGAGGGTCAAGATAAATCAATGACGGTGTGTGTGGGGGGGGAGTGGGTCTTTTTAATTGGATCACCGTCGAGATCCGCGTTACAAAACCCAGGGCGCAGTTCAATTCCCGGAGTCTCGTCGATTCCACCTCCCGTGAAGCTTCGCGATTCGCCGCGAATCGATTCACCTCCACACTTCGGGCAAGATGAGTGATTGCCACCGCTGCGTGACCATGTCTCCTCGCTACCGCCAACATCACCATCCAACAACAACAACAGCGGCAGCGGCGGCGGCAACAACAACGAATAGACGCGATGTTTAAACAAGTTTCGACCGCCATGGCCACCCCGCCGAGCGCAGAGGCGTTGGACGCGGAGGGGAGCGACGCGGCTTTGCGGCGAGGGGACGCGCTGGCCCGGCAGGGCCGTCTCGACGACGCCCTGGACGCGTACGCCGCGGCGCGCCGCCTGGGTGTTGCGCTGAGCGGCGAGCGTCTGTTCGCCCTGGCAAGGCTCATGGCCGCGCGCCTTCGTGTCAACATCAATAACAACAACACCAACAACCACAGCGGGGAGGCAAGCCGGAGAAGGAATCTTGCGCCATCGGGGAAGCGAGGAGAGGCGGACACAGCAGGGGCGGCGGGGTCGGCGTTCGCAGGGTCAGGGTCTGCGGGCTTTGCAGGGTCTCCGGGGCCTGCGTCAGTGGGATCTGGGTCGGGATCTGCGTCTCTTGTGAGACCTGGTGGGTTGGGGGGAGCTGCGCGGTCTGGGTTAGGGTCAGAAATGTCTGCAGGATCGGCTTCTGTGTCGGGCCTTTTCGACTGCTGCTTGTGTCGCCTCTGGCTGTCGGAGCCCGTGACCCTGAGCTGCGGCCACAGCTGCTGCAGGAGCTGCGCCGAGCTGCGGGTGCCCGGCGCCGCGTTTGACGAAGCCGCCTCATCCCAAGTCGCCTCATCCCAAGCCGCCTCATCCCAAGCCGCCTCATCCCAAGCCGCCTCATCCCAAGCCGCCTCATCCCAAGCCGCCTCATCCCAAGCCGCCTCATCCCAAGGCGCTGCCCGAGAACTCGCAGTGGAGGCGTGCGGGACATGCGGGGCCGTGTCCGCCCGTGCGCCTGGGACGCCGGTCCGTGTCAACGTGCTGCTGGGCGGTCTGCTCGCCAAGTGGTTTCCACGGAGGGCCGAGGCGGCGCAGCTCCGCGTGGAGGCGGCGCGGCTCTTCGCCGTCGGCGCAGAGCTGCGAACGACGCTGGGGATGTGTGAGCGGGCACTCGCACTCGGTACATGCAGGGGGGTTGCGCGCGGTCTTCCCAGAAGGTTCATTTAGGGCCGCGTCAAGAGACATTGAGGTTCAAACGCGGAGAGAGCCGTGTCCATCGCAGGAGGTTCTGAATCGGCGTGTCAGACGAGAGCGCGACTTTTCGAGAACGATCAGAGGCCGAGAACGATCAGAGGCCACTAACGGACGCTGGGTCTTCATAATAAAGGTTTTTGGGTTAGTTTAAATGTGTCGTAAGACTACACCACCCGACACAGCCAATGAGGTTTGTCACGTAAACAACGCGCCAATTAGTTACTACTTCAGCCCACCGGTGTGTTTGAGAGTAAATCCACGACATTTACAATTCGAATAGTACGACGTTTCGCTGGTGATTACATCCAGAAATTATACTTACACGATCTAACCCAAAAAAACTATGGTGAATATTGGTCGCGAAAGCCTACGTGTTAAACGAACGCTCTCTTTACTGGACATCGTCCGATTCCTCCAGTCGAAATAAAAATTCTGATGACCATGTGAAAGAGCTCGCACCCATTGTTCTTGGTTCAAACCGTAGGCATTTCTGTGCGTTTCTCTCTGGTGATTCTTAATGGCCTCGTCAGAGGCACTCGGCTATTGTGTCTGTGATTTCTCTGTGCAAACTCTCAGGGCTGTTTTAATCACGAGAGGCTCATAATGGTCATATCAGAGACACCGGCCAGTGAGATAATGAGTTAATGGGTAAAGGAGGTCGACAGGTTGGCCACAGGCCTTTGTGGCTCCATCATATCGACTGTTACTGTTACTACTTTTATTTTTAATATGTGTATTAGATTGTTGCTGTACACAATAACAAAGGTCTGCTGCAGAACGTTGGGCGACAAAAAAAAAACGCACGCGAATATCTGCCAGGCCCATGTATCCGACGTGTCCTGGTTGATGAAATGGGGTGGAGACAGATAACCCGGGAATGCCTTGACAGAAGGGACCCTAGAATTTGGCGTCAGGGTGGGTGCTGTGTTCTATCTGGGCTCCCATACTGGACTTGATCCTCCAGTAACTCAAACTTGATTCGCAACAGAGGGATACTCGTTGTTTTCTCGCCTGGTTAAATACAAAAGAGGGTTGCCTGTTGCTGATGGTGCTGCTTTGTTATTTGCTTGGGTCACAATTGTCTCAGATCCAGGTGACGTGGGAGCGCTGGTCATAGGGTCGAAGGTTCGCTTGGAGATGGGAGACCCAACTGGCGCTCTCCGTGACGCAGAGCAGGCTTGCCGAGCACAACCACACAATGCACAGGTACTTTCACCGGACATCAAATAATGGATTCTTGAATTACGACCTCGAATTATGACAATTTATCTAAATTCTTGTTGGTGAACCATTATATGGCTAATATTCTGTGCCTGTGGATGCTTTTGCTTACATCCTTATGCGCGTGTACGAATACAAAGGCCGTGGTGGCGAGGGGCTGGAGTCTACTGGCACTGGGTCGGCAGGAGGAGGCAGTGGGGGCGCTTCTAAGAGGCCTCGCGCTCGATGCTACCCAGGAGTCGGCCGCTCGTGCCATCGGCGAGGTCAGAGGTCGTGCAATTCTCACTGCTCTTTTTGCCCCTGTCTGAGGTGGTGGGGAGTTAGGCCGTGAGCATTCTGACGGACGATATACAATCAATATCAATTATTGATAACTAAAGTCTGTTAGAGCTCTTTGTCAATCCACAGTACTTCAACACCCCAGTTCAGATTAATGTTTGCCATCGCTGAGAATTGAATTCAGGTTGTTTGGTTCATAGCACTGTAAATTTCTGGTCTAACAGCCCAGCAGGTTTTGGGATTTTCACAAATACAGTGCAATACAATTTGGGTTTATATAGCATCTGAATGCAGTCATGTCAATATGCTGTACAGTAAGGTCTCAGAGTAAGCAGATCCGCTCATACGCGACTGACCCCGATTCATACTTGTAACTCGTACTTTTACTACACGCACGGGGCGGGAAGTGAGTCAAATCACCCCCCGCCATGACGTGAACATGTATTTGAGGGCGTGTAACTGTATCGCCTGTGCTACTAATGATTAGTGAATAATTAACTGTACAGTACTGTACTTTATTAAACATTTATGTACATTTATATACATTTTATGTACACTCTACTCTTTGGTTCTTTCGGTAAAGTCACGTAGGTAGAAAAATAAAATAAAAAATAATATATCATATAACTAATTTATATTATTTTTATAATAAAGATTTTTGGGTTAGATCGCGTTTATTTATAAATGTGTCGTAACCCTCCACCACCCGACACGGCCAATCAGCAAAAAAAAAGTGTCACGTTGACAAAAGACAAATAAGTCACTACTTCAGCCCACCGGTGTGTTGAAGAGTTAATCCACATTTACAGTTTGAGTACGACGTTTCGCTGGTAAATACATCCAGCATCATCAAGCAATTCGCCAGAATGGTAAAGCCCTCGCTTGCTCCCGGTTTTTATATAGAGCAGCAGGGTGACGTCATCACTTAACTCATCAAGTGCAGTGATTAGAGGCGGAGGGCGGGGTATTGTAATTATATAATCGATTAGTAATCAGTCATTGGTTATGATTAGTAATGAGTTGTAGATTAGTAATTCTTTAAATGTAATGTGTATTAATGTGTATTATTTAATAATACCTATGTGACTTTACCGAAAGAACCAAAGAGTATGGATTCCTGCAGTCACGAAAGCTTCAAATCAAAATGTATGTACACGCTTACATTTTATATACACCTAACCCCCGCGTACTCTGAGACCTTGCTGTACAAAGGTTCATGAACCTTTGGATGACAGGTTTCTGCCACGTCACCCAGTGCAAACGTTTGCTGTCATCTGGCGATATAATGTATATTGTTTCTTATTTCATAAAAAAATTCCTTCATGCCTTACGGATATGACTTCATTCAAGTTAAATACCTAATGAGTCAAGTTATGCATTACCAGGTATTAATGTGAAGGCTAAAAGTCTACTTAGCACCTCTTAGCCTTTCTTATGGGTGGGTTTTCCTAAAGCATTCTGGTTTCTTCCCTCATGTCAAACACTCAAAATTTGCTACGTTCCCAACAGGAAACTTCGAATATTCAACACACATTTCCTGGTTAAAGAAAAAAGAGTCTGTGCACTGTATATAATTTTTAGGACTTCAACAATAAATTATATTTAATTTGGGTTATTACTTGATTGGGATTACTTGACAAATGGTCCATTTCTGGCAGCAGAACAACATTTTAACCTGGTAACAATATCAAGTGATGATGGTGATGCTATTATTGGTCACTTGCCTGATGATCGCATGGCATATCATTTTGTTGAGGCCATCATTCCCATCATATCAGGGCTATCAGAGAATGTGCTGAATCGATGAAACTCTACACGCTAGAATCCTATTATGGTAAGGCCTCGATATCCACGAGGGTTATGTTCTTGCAAATCTGCACGAAGGTTAAATTTGCTAATGTAGATACTGTGTTTATATGGAAAAAGGGAGTTCGGTTCCCATGTCCGACTGAACATATGGGAGAAAGTGGAAATGTTTTATAATATTAATCCGGTACTATACATATAAATAATGTCCATATACTTAATTTAAATGTACAATAGTACAAATAAACCATCACGAATAATACAATGAAAAAGAATAAATAAAATAAACATCAATAAATTAACCTGTAAATTTGATGATTAGGGGATGATGATGATGATCAGCAGCTGTACTATCACCACGAGCACGTCTATCCAACAACTCTTCTTTCTGAGCTAAATCTTTCACTTTTTTCTGCCTTTTGCTCTCACTTCCTCCACTCACTTGACGCTTATACCCAATGATCGAAATAAAAGACCACTACTGTACTGCACAAGTACCCCACCCCCATGATGCGATGTTGCTAAATCGCGAATAGTCGAAGGGGAAAAGAAGGCACGAAACCCGAATAACCGCATTTCGCGAAAGAAAAATCCGCGAATGAAGAGGTTTTACTGTAATTGTACCCTCTCCAATCAAAACTAGGGCAAATAAAATATTCCAATTGGCATCCATAGAACACGTTGGCTCTAATGTGGGACAAATCGACTTTTCAGGAGATATGGGCCCCATTTATTACACCCCACCGACCTCACACGTAATACTCAAGGATCCAAATCGCTGCATCATGTTCTTCCACATTTGAATTCCATTCTGCTACTTTAATTTAAATCGATGTTTAAATTTGTTTTAGGATTCAAATACCCTCTACACCCAATCCCTTCCCTTTTCTCTTTGATTATTTTAATGATACTTAAAAAGAATTGGAACATATCGCCTGGTTTAAGGTGTTCAGCATCATTATTGTGCACACGTGTATTGTGCTCGATTCTTTTGTTGATTAAATAAATAAAGTGGTTGTGTGGGTCATCGTCTGAGCAAAATGTGTTGACCTGTCTTTATAAGTCTCATTGGAAACTATGCCTCGGCACTTAATTTTGACTTATCAACATTGTGTGGCCCATGCTGGCATGCTGCTGTTTGGATCGTGTGACTCCACAGATCCTCTCTGAATGGCTAAGCCCGGTTCCGGAGCAAGTTGGCGTGGCAAGCAGGAGCCTCAAGTGTGGGACCTTCCTTGAGTCACTAGGCAACCAGCCAGCCAATCATGTAACGTAAAATACATTACTTTGTATACTTAAGATAATTATTGCACAGCGTCTATTGTGGATGGAAAGAGTGTGTTTGCCACATGGTGGATTGTGGGAGTTTGCTACATTGTAAATTGTAAGACTATGTACATATGTATTATGGGGAGACAAAGGCGGCTGGATTTGGTGATGGCCACACCACCTCTTATGCCATACGGGCATTCATATGTGCTTGCTAAAACCACTTGCCCCAACAGTTTGTATGGCCATAAGGCGGTCTTTTTGTTTTCAGATGCATGCTAAAGGTTTGTGTGAATGTGCCTGCTGCAAGGGTTGATGACAGCTGGGGTGTGTTGATATGGATGGTGAGAAATTGTGCATCTCAGGGTGGATGATGAGGAAGCATGTGCACTGCATTGAGGATGTTGCAGGGTGGATGTTGAGGGAGTATATATATATTTATGTGAGTATGGATAATGAGGGTGTGTGTGTCAGTGTGGATGCTGGGGAGCGGTAGTGTAGCGGTTAGCGCGCTGCGCTGTGAACCTGGCGACCTGGGTTCGATTCCCGCTCACGGCCAACACCAGTGACGATTATCTGAACCGGTCCCAGGCCTCCCCTAGGTCGACTCAGCCTCAAATGAGTACCTGGTGCGGTGTGTAAATATCGCCACTAGTGAGACAAAGGAGGTCGGGCGTGGTGCTGGCCACCCACCCCCTCGTGTACCGTTCCGGCCTTCATAGGTGCTCGCTAACAGCACTTGCCCCTACAGTCTGTTAAGGCTATACGGGGGATCTTTGTCTTTTTTTTTCTGAGGGATTGTATGGATGGTGAAAGTTTGTGTTGGCGTGTGTGTGGGGAGCGAGCCTTCAGCCTTCGCGTGGCCTCAAAGTGCACCTGGCCTGGCGCAGGCGCCGTGGTGATGTCACCGTCACTTAGTGGCGAATGGCAGGTACAGTGAGGGAAAAAAGTATTTGATCCCCTGCTGATTTTGTACGTTTGCCCACTGACAAAGAAATGATCAGTCTATAATTTTAATGGTAGGTTTATTTGAACAGTGAGAGACAGAATAACAACAATAAAATCCAGAAAAACGCATGTCAAAAATTTTATATATTGATTTGCATTTTAATGAGGCAAATAAGTATTTGACTCCTCTGCAAAACATGACTTAGTACTTGGTGGCAAAACCCTTGTTGGCAATCATAGAGGTCAGACGTTTCTTGTAGTTGGCCACCAGGTTTGCACACATCTCAGGAGGGATTTTGTCCCACTCCTCTTTGCAGATCTTCTCCAAGTCATTAAGGTTTCGAGGGTGACATTTAGCAACTCGAACCTTCAGCTCCCTCCACAGATTTTCTATGGGATTAAGGTCTGGAGACTGGCTAGGCCACTCCAGGACCTTAATGTGCTTCTTCTTGAGCCACTCCTTTGTTGCCTTGGCCGTGTGTTTTGGGTCATTGTCATGCTAGAATACCCATGCACGACCCATTTTCAATGCCCTGGCTGAGGGAAGGAGGTTCTCACCCAAGATTTGGCGGTACATGGCCCCGTCCATCATCCCTTTGATGCGGTGAAGTTGTCCTGTCCCCTTAGAAAAACACCCCCAAAGCATAATGTTTCCACCTCCATGTTTGACGGTGAGGATGGTGTCTTGGGGTCATAGGCAGCATTCCTCCTCCTCCAAACACTGCGAGTTGAGTTGATGCCAAAGAGGTCCATTTTGGTCTCATCTGACCACAAAACTTTCACCCAATTGTCCTCTGAATCATTCAGATGTTCATTGCCAAACTTCACACGGGCATGTATATGTGCTTTCTTGAGAAGGGGGACCTTGCGGGCGCTGCAGGATTTCAGTCCTTCACGGCGTAGTGTGTTACCAATTGTTTTCTTGGTGACTATGGTCCCAGCTGCCTTGAGAACATTGACAAGTTCTGGGCTGATTCCTCACCGTTCTCATGATCATTGCAACTCCACGAGGTGAGATCTTGCATGGGGCCCCAGGCCGAGGGAGATTGACAGTTCTTTTGTGTTTTTTCCATTTGCGAATAATCGCACCAACTGTTGTCACCTTCTCACCAAGCTGCTTGGCAATGGTCTTGTAGCCCATTCCAGCCTTGTGTAGGTCTACAATCTTGTCCCTGCCATCCTTGGAGAGCTCTTTGGTCTTGGCCATGGTGGAGAGTTTGGAATGTGACTGATTGATTGCTTCTGTGGACAGGTGTCTTTTATACAGGTAACAAGCTGAGATTAGGAGCACTCCCTTTAAGAGTGTGCTCCTAATCTCAGCGCATTACCTGTATAAAAGACACCTGGGAGCCAGAAATCTTTCTGATTGAGAGGGGTCAAATACTTATTTCCCTCATTAAAATGCAAATCAATTTATAACATTTTTAAAATGCTTTTTCTGGATTTTTTGTTATTCTGTCTCTCACTGTTCAAATAAACCTACCATTAAAATGATAGACTGATCATTTCTTTGTCAGATGGGCAAATGTACAAAATCAGCAGGGGATCAAATACTTTTTTCCCTCACTGTATTGGTGTGGGGAGCGGTAGTGTTGCGGTTAGCGCGCTGCGCTATGAACCCGGCGACCTGAGTTCGATTTCCGCTCACGGCCAAGACCAGTGACGATTATTTGAACCGGTCCTGGATCTCCCCTACGGCGACTCGGCCTCAAATGAGTACCGAGTTCAGTGTGCAAACATCGCAACTAAGGAGACAAAGTTGGTCGGGCATGGTGCTGGCCTTCATAAGTGCTCGCTAACGGTACTTGCCCCAATTGTTGTTGATGGGGGATCTTTGTCTTTTGTGTGGCTGCAGTGTACAGAGGGTCAGGTAGAAGTTCATAAGAAGCGGAAGCACTCGGTCTCTGACTCGGACTGCGATGGAGAGGGTCAGCCACCACATCCAGACTCAGCTGGTGAGGCCTGGGAGCGTGCGGGTTCGTGTGAGTGATTGTTAATATAAGAGCATTTTAAGCAAGTGAGTGTGATGAAGCATTTAAGCACATGCAGAAATTTTTGCATGTACGGGCAACTGCTTGTGAGCTTATGAGTATTTCAGATTGATCATGTTGGTGTTTGCATTCGTAGTTAAGTCTTAATAAGTGTGCAACTGCATTTCTTAAGTGCATATGCATGTCAGAAGTGCTTGTGCAGTGGTTCACACCAGGGAGGCAGAGACTTCTTAGAGTTAACACGTTTATTTAGAGCCTTCGAGAGGGACTTGGTCCTGGTCCCGTGGTCCCCCAGCCCCCTCTTTGGGGCCCCCGAACCGGTACCTCCGGTCACCAGGCCTCCAGGTTCACATGGGGTGCCATGGCTCCCTGTGTACCCCTGCACCGTCCCTGGCACTCTCGCCCCCTAACCTCCAGAGGCTGGCACTGCACATGGAATGCAATGCCATCCATCCTTGATCGGCGATCTCAGCCGGCCCCCGCTAGGGCCGGTACTGCATTCCCACTGCAGTGTTGTAGGTGGTGTGGGCGGCGTGTGTCGTGCCTCACACAGGCCGGCTTCACACAACATGCAGTGACATCCTCCGATGCCACTACACTTGGATGAGCGGCCACCATGCATAACACAGTTGTTTTAAACTGTTGTAGCTCTACATTATCATTAGAGGGCAGTGCTGAAAAATCCTGGGCTACCCATGACCAACCCACAGTGACCAGCATGGCGAAGTATGGTCAGATATCCTTTACATGTGTAATGACATGATGACACCTGCTGGTGAGAAAAGGGAAGCAGGCACCGCTAAAGCAACATCCAATCCGATAGGGAGAGGTATCTGAACAAAGGTAATGGGCGGGGCTGGCTGGGATGCTCCGGGAACCCGCTCGAAGGTTCCACGATGGGGCGTGGCCAGAGGCGGAGCCTAGCCGCGCCTGCGGTGATATAAGCGGGGGCGGAGGAGGACTCGGGGTTCGTGTGTGGAGTCTTGGGTCCGGACTGTGTCGCTGCTCGCCGTCATCTCTTTCCGTCGTCCGGCCAAGTGGAAGATCTCCTGCGAGGTTCCATCGCCCTTCCCGGCATGCCGCCAGCCAGCGCCGCCAGTCAGCGGCGAAGCCGAGAGTGGACGGGTGGAACCACGCCGAGTGATCGCCGTGTGTTAAGCCAGTAGAGACGCTAACATCTAAGTGTTGTACTCAGAATGAGAAGATAAGTTTGGCCTGTGTTGTGCCCGTGTGTGAATAAAGAAGTAGTACTCTCTACATGACGTGTCGCGAAAGTCGCTCATTACACATGTATAAATAGCCAATAGGCTGATATACTATTAAAATATTTCAATTTGCTTTTACAAATAGCAGTGCACAGCAGTCTTGGTCAGTATCTGAAAATGGCCTGAGCCTCCAGTAGATTTAGCTGCCTTAAAATGAATACCTGGTGCTGTGTGGGCATTGGATAGACAAAGGTAGTAAGGCATGTTTAATGTCGGCCTTGCCACTTTCCCCTTATGTGTCTTGCAAATTCCCCATGTGCTTGTATGTGTGTGATGTATGAAGCCTTTTGATCTACCCTCATCTCATTTTCCTGTTTTAGAATGTTATTATATCAGAGAGGTACCCAGGCATCGTATCGACCCATCGGACCTGGAATGCTCTCTTTGTATGAGGTACGATCACCACTATCATAATAATTTAAATCATCACTGTCATTATTGATATTAATTATACTGCTGTGTTTTTTGTGAACAAAGCGTGTAGAGTTTTGAGTGTGTGCATATGAGCACATATGTCAAGTGTGCATATGTGAGTTTGTATGTGCACGTGCATAATTGTGTGTTTGCACTGCGCTACAACTCACATAGCTCAGGTTTAATTCCTTACCATTGAAAATGTGCATGTTACCTGATCTACCCCCCACCCCTTTTTATTGATTCATCCTTAAATGAGTATCTGCTATAATGTCACCATCATAGCAAGGGTTACAAAGATGAGCAATTGTTTATCAACTTTAATAAGTGCTTGCTAACAGCATTGCTCAAACAATGTAATAGGATAACGTGAGTCTTATTTGTGTGTGCACATAAGTTTATGAACTTATCTGTACACGTGTGTGTGTAAACACAGGCTACTGTGGGAGCCCGTGACGACACCGTGCGGCCACACGTTCTGCACCGCCTGCCTTGAGCGTAGCCTCGACCACCGGCATCAGTGCCCACTCTGCAAGGAGGGGCTCGTGGAGGTGGGCATGGGGGACACGGAGACATCGGGAACATGGGGACCCGGGACAGTGGGGGACACGGAAATGATCGGGGGTGATCGGCGGACACGGGGCAGGGGGAATATGAGTAACAAAGAGTTCATGGGACAAGAGGGACACAGGGACATGGGGAATATAAGGGGGACATGGTCAGTGTGACACTGGAAAACAAAGGGGAGCACATTGTGTGAAACCGGGGACATGAGAGGGTTTGTAGAGGGATTCATACTTTTTGGTTCTTCCGGTAAAGTCACGTAGATAGATCGTCCTCACCTGAGGACGATTGCTTGTGTTGCGATCGAACCGTCGTGATTTATTTTTTTTATTTTTCTATCTACGTGACTTTACCGAAAGACCCAAAGAGGATGAATTCCTGCAGTCACGAAAGCTTAAAGTCAAGATTTCTAGAGAGATTTTTGGATATGAAGACAATGAAACATATGGAAACTCACAGGAACACAAGGAGGGACACAAGGGGACATACAGGCTCAGGGCACACGTTGAGACAGAGGGACATATATGAGGACAAGGACATATTCAGGGAGCCATGGTGGATGTGGGGAGGCTGTTGGCTATATGGGGGAATGACACAAATTTACAGTTACGGGCAGTGTGTAAATGTGGTGTGTGTGTGTTCCTGTGTGCAGTTCTTGGCGCGTGCCGTGTTCACCCGCAACGCATGTCTGGAAGGGGTGATGGTTCACTTCCTGGCTGAGGAGAGGCGAGAGAGAGAGCGACAGAATGCGGAGGAGCGGAAGGAGATGGCCGGGTGCGTTGCACAGACTGGGACACATGGGAATACAGGAATGAATGTGGCATTCCCCCTGAGTGTCGTGCGGTGTGTGGTGTGCGTGCTGTGTTGATGTGGGGGTTTGGCCGTGCGGTGCAAGCAGCGAGGTGCCGGTGTGTGCGTACACCATAACCTTCCTCTGGGTGCATTGTTGATGTCCTGTGTGGTGTAGTGTGTGCGTCGTGTTGAGGGGGTGTGTATATTCCGGTGCAGCAAGGTGCCGGTTTTTGTGTTTACCGTGGTTGTTCCCCTGCATGCCGTGTTGACAAGGTGTGTGTGGTACTATGCAGTGAGGTGCCGATATTTGTGTGCACCGTGGCATTCCCCTGGGTGCCGTGCCCCCTGCACGTGTTTGAGGCGCGCTACCGCCTCATGCTGCGCCGCTGCATCCGTGATGGAACTCGCTCATTCGGCATGTGCGCCTGGGACCAGCAGCACGGGTGAGCGAGCCACACCATGCTCTACAACAACTACACCGAAATCTGGCAAACACCGCAAAATGCCATAATTTGCCGATTTGGGGAGGGGCAAACAGGTAAGTGTGCATTCGCCAACCAAACACGGGGTCTATCTTGGCCCAAGAACCCAGCCAGTCAGCCTCCAGCACGAATCTGACCACTCACGCTAACCCTAACCTTGCGTATTCATGCCCCCTTTTAATTAGTTTATTAACTTTGCATTGTTGCTGTTCACAGTGCTTCTTCTCTTCTTGGCATCACTCGCACCATCTTGTCTGTCTTTGCTGTCCCTCTGCGACCCCATGTCTCTTAGTTTATTTGTGCTTTGGTTATTGTGTGTGCTCTTAGAGTGTGTGTTAGTGTTACGTGTGTGCCCCCTGTATATTATATTTTATAATGTATTTAGTTGTTGTGCTTTTTAAGTTCAAGCAATAAAGATTTAGGTTCAGTTATATTCAGATTTTGAAGCTCAGATGAAATTGAGATTCGATTTTATTTGGCTGATTCGTCTCATTCGAAGTGTGTGCCCCCCATGTGTGCTGTGGGTCAGGTTCGCGGATGTGGGCTGCATGCTAGAGGTGCGGGGTGTGCACCTGTACCCAGACGGCCGCTCCCTCGTGAGCGCCGTGGGCGGACGTCGTTTCCAGGTCACGGAGAGGTCAGCCCGGGATGGCTACAGCACGGCACGTGTGGCTCTGCTGCATGACACGCCGGTACGGTGAACACAGCAGCAAGACACGGGACTTGAGACAAAGGAAGACACTGGGCATGGAAAACATTAGACACGGTACATGAGGACATGCTGGACAAGGTGACACGGAGACGCATGACTTGAGAAGCAGGAAGATGGGCGTATGAAACATGAGACATGGGACATGACACACTGAACAAGGGGATACAGGGAGACACGGGACAAGCGTTGATATGCGGTGTTTTTTTCTGGAAGACTTTGCTGTTTTTTCCTGGATTTTTCTGTTGCGCGTAGTCATTTTAAGATGTTCTTTGTTCATGTTTTGTTTGTTGCGGTTGCACCTGAGTCAAGAGCCGCATGGCTGACAGGGCTATACCTAATAAATGAAACTGAAACTGAAGAGGGACCCGAGACATCGGACCTGGGGAGATATGGATTAGGCACAGGGAAACAAGGAACACGAGATGAGGACATATGGTACATGACACATCACATGAGAGGCAAGGTTATGATACTGTGGTGACACTCTCAATGTTAATGCAAATGTTGGTTCTTGATGCTGAAGATGTTGATGGTGTAAGTGTTGGAAATTTGGTGTGTGTCGTTCTGGTGCCACGTTCATGTGATTGTTGATGGTGGTGTCTTTATTGAAGTTGATGGTGTAGGCATGAGGTGGATGCAGTACAGGATGTGAGCTGGCTTCATAATGTGTTGGTGGTGCTGATTATGTTGTTGATCGTGTTGTGAGTGTAGGTGGTATTGATTATGATGGTGTTGATTGTGATGTTGATAGTGTAGGTGGTATTTATGGTGTAAGATGGTGATGTTGATGGTATCGGTCCATTGTGATGAGGTGTGAGAGTTGTGCTAGCTCAGTACTCTGATGATGGGGATGTTGATGTTTTAGATGGTGTTGTTACATTGATGGTATCGATTTTGATGTTACAGATGCCGGGGGAGGCCGGATGTGATTTGTGCTTCGTCTGTAAAAAAATATATGATTTTCTTCATGGTGTTGATGGTGATATTGATAATGGTGATGATGATGGTATTGTTGATGGCGTAGGTGCGGGGTGATGCAGTGCGGGAGCTGTGCCGCCTCCATGAAGTGGTTCGCACCTGTGCCGAGCGCTGGTTCTCAAAGTTGGAGCCCCGATACCACGGATGCATCAGCCAGCACTTCGGGGACATGCCGCAGACAGAGCCAGACATCCAGGTGAGACACAGGGTGCTCATGGTGGTAATTGTGGTGGTGGCCAACACCAGTGACGATTATCTCAACCGGTCCTGGGCCTCCCCTGGGTCGACTCAGCCTCAAATGAGTCCTGTGCTTGGAGCCATGTGTAAACATCACCACTGCAGACAAAGGGTGGGCGTGGTGCTGGCCACCCACCTTGTGTGTCATGCTGTCCTTCATAGGTGTTCGATAACAGCACTTGCCCCAATAGTCTGTTAGGGCTATACAGGGGATGTTTGTCTTGGTGGTAGTTATAGGATAGTGTGGCAATGATCTTTGAGGTAGTTGTGATTGTTGTGGTGGTTGTGCTGATGGTGATGGTTATAGTTGTGGTGGTTTGCAATTGTCATGGTGCTGGTGGTGATGGCTGTGGTGGTGATGATGATGTTGGTGGTGATGCTGCTGCTGGCGATGATGGTGATGATGCTGGTGTTGGGTCTGATGGTAGATGGTGGTGGTGTCGGTGGTGTTGTTGTGTGTAGACTAGGCCAGACGGGCCAGCTTGGCTATGGTGGCTCATTGCGGTGCTGCCGCTGGAGCCGCGTGTGCAGCTGGGGCTGCTAGGCCTCACGTCCCTGCCGGCGCGCCTCGCGGCCGTCGCACAGCTCTTGGCGCATACGGTGCGCACGCACGCACCGCAACCACCGCAATCGCTACAGCCATCTCTACCACAACCACAGCCACGCCAGCAGCAGCAACAACCAAGCCATCAGCAACAACTGGAGCAGCAACCAAGCCAGCAACAACCAGAGCAGCTGCAGCAACAAGCGTTGCAGCAACAGCCAAACCAGCAACAAATGCAGCATCAGCCAAGTGTACAGCCGCTACAAATGCTCGAGCCACTGAGCCAGCTTCAATTTAGCCCGCGACGGCACCAGCAGGAGCACCATGATCGGCAACAACCGTGTCCATCACAGCAGCAGCCGCCGTGCCAGCAGCAGCAAGGCCAACACCGGTCAGAGCCGCAGGGACAGCAGTACCCACAGAAGCAACAACCACACACAGAACCGCATCACCAGCAGCAGGCGCAGGCAGATGTTATGGGAACACCAAGGCTCCAAGGGGAACCCAGAATTGCTATGGAGGAGCAACCAACAGCATCACTATGGGTGGCAGCGACACAGCAAACACACGTACAGCCGTGGGGCCGGCCCGGTAAACAGCCGCAGGGGATACAGCCAAATTCTCCGGCACGGTCTGATAGTCACCCACAGCAACAGGCAAAGCCCCGTGTGTGCATGCCACCCGAACTGTCAAGGCAACTGACAAAGCGGCTGCACACACAGCAGCACGCCCTGGACGCCGCGATGTGCACAACTGCACACACAACCAAACTCTCCTCAAAAACAGCCACACGGTCAAATACACTCACAACCTCACGCATGGCCGCACACCTGACCATGCAAATGACCGCACAGGCAACCCCACACATGACCTCGCAGTCTACTGTACACGCAATAAGCGATGCAGATCCGCATGCTACTGCAACTGCCTGTGCATTCGCGCGCTCAACTAGTAATGCAGCTGCACGCGCGACTGCTTATGCAACAGCGCACACAACAGCGCACGCGAAAACCTATGCAGCCGCTTACACAAAAGTACAAACAGCAGAAGCAATGGCACACACAGCAGAGAGTGCACAGTCAACATCGCACTCAGATGCAAACTCAGTTGGACACACAGTGATGCGCGCAGAGGGGCAGGCGATCGCGTGCCCAGCAACACACGTAGTTGGACACAAAAGCAGACATGTGGCAAGTCTGACAGATGTGTCCACACGCCACACAACCAAACACACAGTGACACACAGACCTACACCAACAGCCGAGAACACACAAACCATGAGACACAAAGCCACACATACGATGGCACACGTGGATACAACCGCCATCAACAACCACCAAGTGGATACAACAACAACCGCCATTCGCCACTAAGTGGCGGTGATGTCACCACGACGCTTGTGCCAGGCCATGTGCACCTTGAAGCCACATGGATACACACAATTGGACACGCAACTTCTCATCCATCATCCATTATCCCACCCAACGCTCCACATGTACGACATCGCATACAGATGCCCACACAATTGGGCACACAGCCACATACACAACAAAGATAAAGATCCCCCATATAGCCTTAAAAGACTGTTGGGGCAAGTGCTGTTAGCGAGCACCTATGAAGGCCGGTAATGGTACATGAGGGGGTGGGTGGCCAGCACCACGCCCGACCGCCTTTGTCTCCCTAGTGGCAATGTTTACACACCACACCAGGTACTCATTTGAGGCTGAGTCGACCTAGGGGAGGCCCGGGACCGGTTCAGATAATCGTCACTGGTGTTGGCCGTGAGCGGGAATCGAACTCGTGTCGCTGGGTTTATAGCGCAGTGCGCTAACCGCTACACTATCGCTCCCCACACATACACAACACACACAACGGCACACACAATTGGACTCCCAGCCACACACCCAACAGCTGGTACATGCGGAAAAAACGACTGCGCATGCAACATTCAAATGCACAACAGCCACCACCCACACTCATGGAGCAGAAAGAGGTGGTTGTACAGGCAAACATGAAAAAAGTGGTAATCGCAAACCCTCGGGGTCCTGTGGGGTTACATGCTCCCGCAGAGCTGCAGGACGTGGGGCTGCAGGAGGATGTGGGGCTGCAGGACACAGGGCTAGGAGACCGGGATGTGCAGGATCAGTCCGGAGGTGACGTGGAGCCTCCCCTTGGGCAACGCTCAATTTTATCTTTTATTAGACCTCATTCAGAGTTCCGCGAGATGTATGCCATTGATCATGAATGACCTCTGAACTCCCTGAGAGAATGGTTTATTACACTTTTACACTAAGTAGTTGTGGCCTTGCAGGTAATTTTTAAAGTCGGTATGTTAAAATTGCATACAATAGCCTAATCTGTTTGTGAGTGCTGTCACAGGATCTTTAAAGTCCGATTAACAGCAGGTGGCATGTTTCGGTCGATACCACCCAATGGAAATTACTGACCGGGCAGCTGTAGGGGTAGTCGTACAGTGATGCCGCATTGACTGACACACTGCTATGGACAAACCAGTCGCCCGATGTGTGTTTGCAGACTTGCAGCACATCCAGCTGCTTCATTACATCATTGTTGCTGCATTTGCTGCTGAGGTAAGATAAGGCAGTTTGCTGCACAATTACTGATGTAGTTATTGTCGTTATACCTTTGGTATTATTTTTACTTTGAGTATGCATTGGCGTTATTATCGCCCTATTGTGCACAGCTCTAAGGGGCCTCCTGTAAAAAAAAAGTATTATTTATTGTTGAAATTAATTGATGCATTTCTGTTATTTTTGCAGCAAGTAACCATAATTTCTAACCTGCCTGCCTTTTCCACTCTACATCCAAGACACTCGTCCAGAGCCTTGGGTTTAGATGCTGGTTTAAGGTACAGGTCATGTCCCTTAAGCCAGTGTAGTGCACAAATATCAGTTTAAACAGTTGTGTTGTCTTAATATTACATTTAAAATCAAATGGACAGTGACAATGAGAGGAAGCATTCCCTGAGTAAAATCCGATATGATCGATAAATGACATAAGCCAGAGTTTAACCAGTCGAGTTTTTCAGTTCATGTCATACCTCCCCTACTCCCAAACCACCTGAGATGGTCAAGTGGCTCGCAGAGCTCATTTGGCCATATCACCCTTGGGCTGGGCATAGCTGAAGTAGCTTGATGGTTATTTTGGATTACTGGGCTCTAAGATACCTGATTGCAATCCCAGACACCCTGCTGATATAAAACAGGGTTCGCGTGTGTACGAGTTTTCATGGTGTCAGTCCAGTTACTAATGACTGCGCAAAATAAAATACATTGTATTAGGAATTTCATTTTGAACTTGACTTCAGACTCTTGCGGAAAACTAAGGCACCGATTAGATGTTGAATGTCTGGATGCCAACCTAATGTTTCTTCATATGGGTTATCCAAGGTTTAAGACTGCCATATGTCCTGAACAGACCATTGGGACAGGTGCCGTTAGTGAGCACCTATGAAGGCTGGCACTGTGCACGAGACGGTGGTGTGGGCCAGCCTTTGTCTTTCCAATGCCGATGGTTACACAGCACACGAGGTACTCATTAAGGCTGACTTGTGTGACCCAGAAAAGGCCCTGGACTAGTTCAGATACACGCCAACGATGGAAGCCATGGCCAGGAATCAAACTTGGGTCACAGGGTTCGTAGCGCAACGTGCTAACCACTGCATCACCACTCCACGATATCGGTAATGCCATACTTCTACACATGCATAAAAAGGGACACAGGTACTGCTGTCACAAGTTTCCTACTCCATTTTTTTATCCCCTATCCTTCCAAACCTTAACTTTACTCTTTTTCCAGTATCATTACATGCACTCTGGCCATTGCAAATCTATGTAACAATGATGCAACATTCATCCAAGTATTTGGTTCAGCGAAATATGCATTGCCATTCATGCGATTGTCACCAATGCACAAACAGGATGCAATTGTAATTTGAAGAAAAACTATATTAAACGACGTTGCTTTTTTAAACATATTTCCCATATTTTGGAGACGTGGAAGAACGCCCCAAATGCCCTTATATTACAATAATTAAAAATAAAACAAACTTCAGTTGTGTAAAGCGTTTGACAGCAAAACTTGCATCAGTGCAACAATACTTCACTTTCTTATTAATATTATTAAACAGGAAAACCTCCAACCGAGTCTTAAGGTTTTTGCAGGTCTTCCTTGGGATACTTTGTCACATTTTTTGGTGTAGGATTGACATTGTTCGCTGGGATGCTCCCCTATTACATGCTTTGCCTATTACGTGTTTGCGGTATTCACCAAGTGACTCGGTCGCCTTAGCAACATGGCGCTCCTCTCATCCTCTTGCTAGCTGTTGTCTCAGCGCCACTCGCAACCTGGCATTCAAGATATGGCGAGACAGGAGGCACTCAGAAACACGACTGTAACTTTCACCTCTTAAATTGACTATCTTCTGCTTTATTTGAGTCAGCAATATTTTTCAATCTATCCTGTTTTTCAATATCTGTTTTCAATAGTTGTATCTGTGCACCCTATTAGAAATGTTAACGCTTTTATACTTTTTTACCTATTTTCCAGTAACCCTGTTAATTAAACAACCTTCCACTGCAATTGTTGGGTGATATCAGGAAAAACATTTTTCCAGAGGTTTGTTGTAATATAATCACGAACATCAGTATCCTGGTGACGACACGCGCAATGACAGCACTCTGGTGCCATTGTGGCACTCTTCCAATGTCAACCTTTTACGCAAGTTTACTTCCTCGGTAGCATCTTCAAGCTTCTTTCTGGGAGCCTTAGATAAACATCTAGAAATTAATAATTAGTTGTATTTTTAGGTTGAGTGTTTCAGAATATGATTAAGTTAAAGCTATATGTTAGGGTTAAGATTAGTGCTTTGGTTAAAGAGGATACAAGGTTTAGAGTCTGGGCAGTTTTCTGAACTCGTTTTTTTATGCCCCATCTTTACCAGTTTTCTCCGATCAAGTCAATATATGGTGCAAGTGCTTTGTCTTGCATTAGCAGTCCTGTATTTACTTCACAAAGGACAAACACAAACAATATCTGAATATGAATCAGTACTCCACGTTTCATGAGATGTGTTTACTAATCAGGCATATGAAGTGTGTAAAATTGATTTCTTTGTGAACAGGGAAGACTGGTAAACATGTAAAGGTATACTTTGGGAGGATGCGAGGACTTAAGTTTGAAAAGCCCTGAGCTAGAGAATGTTTTAGAGTACGAGTTAGGTCAGCACTAGGGATAGGATAAGTTAGGATTATATCTAAAATTATGATTAGAACTTGAGAGTTAGGATGAGGCCGACAGAAAGGATTCGGACGAGTTCGACCCAGTGCTGATTCTCCAATCGGGTGTCATTGCTTCCTCTCGTAAAACTCGCCACACTTATCCCTTGCCAGGGCGGCCATCAGAAATGGCGGAATGTGCCAAGAGTGGCATCAAAGAGTGACCGGTTTGGCACGGAGCCATGTTTATCGATGAGGTAATAGAATCGACGTCCACGCACGCGCACAGGCAGGACTGCAGTGGCGCTGGAGACGGCGATGGGGCATGATACAGAGTCCACTGCCACCTCGAAGGCACGCGCAGGCCCCAGCGGTCCTAAACGTGGCGCCGCGGTGCGGAACGTGAGTGCCCGGCCGCCACGAAGTAGGACCACGCGCTGCACGTAGCGTGATGAGAAGAAGACGCATCCCAACATGATCATCACACCTGAGGGCACAGACAATTATGAAGAGGGTAAGGCAATGGTATCCAGTGATATATTCAGGAGGGCCGAACAGAGACAATGCAAAGTAGAGAATACTACAAAGGGGAAGACCACAGAGGAGGGAAGGAGCATGAGAAATGAAGGGAGACCAAGTGAAATGTAGGGATGCTGGGGGGATGTAGTGAGACTAGGAGAGATGAAGGCACACCAGGGTGGATAGAGGGAGACCAATCTCAATGGAAGGACCAGAGAAGATGAAGGAGAACCAGGTAAGATAAAGGGATACTGCGTTGATACTCACCCACGGTGAGGCAGAACATAGAGAATCCGTAGCGCCACAACTCGGAGCTGCTGGTCAGTGCCCCGAAGGAGAAGTGCGCAAGGTAGACCCAGAAGACCGCCTGGCTACATGCGAACAGCGCCAGCAGCCGAGGCAAGCGGCCGTCGCTGCGCTCGAAGATCATCACATCACGCGGAACCTGCGCACCACAGCCGCACAACCAGCCTGTGCTGACGACTACAGCACACTGATGCCCAATGACGGTAAAGCTGTTTAATCAAGTTGCGTACAGTTGCACAACTATAGTCAGTAAAACGAGTTAAGCTGATATTACCATATTCTACAGAATATATGCTCTGGAAAGATGCACCCAAAACGCGTGTTTGATAGCAATGTTATGCAAATTTTGTCAGATACAAACAAATCGAATTATAAGATGCACAACCAACCTTTTGCATTCATCTAGTAACATTTTAGGAGGCATTCATCTGCTACGGATTTGCATTCGTGGTAGAAATTTCACATTTGGAGTGAGTTGTGATGTACGTTTCAATTATGCGATGTGTGGAAGTACATGACATGCTGATCTTATTTAGATGTAATCAAGACTAAGAAGTGTGAAGACGCTGCCTCTGACCATTGATACAGAATTGATGCGCACACGTACAAGCAATTTTAAGGCAATATCCAGTACTGATCTATTGCATAAAATTCATTGCACACTTGTTCTTGCAGGCTGTGCCCATTCACGTGCTTTGATATGGCTCTTTCTCTCGATTTCCCATTCTCGAGCTTACATGTAATTTGCAAAACAGCCTTCCATCTGCTTTTATGGTGATGACGGTGAGTGAATCGAATTTAATTACGGTACACGTAGTGGTTTTTGAAGTGGTATTAAAGAGTGAATACTGTATTAAGTTGTATATATTTAGTTACGTGATAAATATATTACATGGTAGTTAAATGTGTTACGTGTTAGTTACGTATAAACGTAATCTAATAGTACGTCGGACACCCACCCATAACTAGAAAGGCTCTTCCCACACTTACTCCGGCTTAGAAAGGTTCACTGGATCATTGCAGGCAAGTAACGAGTGGTCAGACATGGCCGTTATTTTTAAATGTATTTTTGTATAGAAAAAAGGGAATACCGTATCCAAGTACAGCCGATAATCAATCCGACACTAGATGTGGGCCTCTCCACGTCTTTGGGTCACAGGGGTTACCCATGCTTCACCGTTATGGTTGATCAATGCACAGTTATAACTGCAATGAAAGGCGGAGCGGTGGCGAAGTGGTTCGTGCACTATTTTGTACTCAAGATTGCCGGCCACGGTTAACATCAATGGCGAGTGATAAAACGTTTTATTTTACCGGTTAAGACCCATTTTGCAATAATGTATAGCTCTTTTTCAGATGCGACCTGGCCGCAATGATAGCTCAACGAAGTGGATTATCACGTGGGAAAATATAGCGGAAAAATACTCTTAAACGCATGTTCCTTATGAATGTGTGTGGGAAAACCAGAGGGCCCGGACAAAAATCCACACGACTACAAGAACATGAAAACTCCAAATATACAGGGGTCAGGGTCATAATCAAGCCCACGACCTCCTCCATACCGGGCGAGGGCGTTAACATCTCGCGCCCTCCTTCAACAACCCGTACTGCGTGGAGAAGAAGCCTTCATCCAGCAGTGGACTGACATGCGGCTGAAAAATCCCAACAACTTTTGAGTACAAACATTCAAGTTCACGCTCCTCCACAGCGACGCCTCCAAGTTCTTCCCGCGATAGGTGGGACCAACGTCGGGGCGGGGCTTCTGATGGACGGGGCGGGGCCTCTGATGAAAGGGGCGGGGTGACTGCAGAAATGGGCGGGCCCGCTGGTGCAGTGGGCGGGTCCACGAATTGAAGGGGCGGAGCCGATGGTGGAGGAGCGGACGGCCCCAGCAGGCGAGGCCGAGGCGCCATGCCCGGCCCAACCCCGAAGCGGCTCCGCTCGGGCAAATGAACGCAGAAGCAGCGGCTTGCAAGAGCATGTTTCTCCTGCAAGTATAGCTGCCAGGCTCGCCGACTTGAAAGGGGTCCGCCTGTCTTATTCGGTTTCTTTTTTTGGATTGAAATAAAGGCAACTGCGTCCCGATGTCAGGGATGAGGTTAAGCGCTCCGCTCGCTCCTCCTGGGCGCTGCCATCTTGCTTTACCTACAATGCTGCGCGGCCTCCGCTATGGCGTCATTAACCGGCGGATTTAAATGACGTCACCTAGCAAGTTGAGGTGATGTCGCTGCCAATTAAGATGACGTCATGTCTTCACTTGTGATGACGTCGGTAATCAGTTGTGCAGGATGTGCAATGGAATCTTTAGTGCCCCCACAGGGTACGCTATTTGAAGGCAGAAGAACTAATGAGTTTCAATAAAGATCACAGGGCAAAACAAAACATGTTAACTTCATATTCTTAGTTCTTTCGGTAAAGTCACGTTGAAGGGAAACAATAAAATAATAAAAAATATATTAAACAATACAATTCTCATAATATATTTTATTGTTTCCCTTCAACGTGACTTTACCGAAAGAACCAAGAATATGAATCACTGCAGCCACGAAAGCTTTAAATCAAAATGTTAACTTCAGTCAACACGTTATTGTACATGTGCCCTAATATAACAACAACAACTTTATATCCTACAAGAGGGCAGCAAACCAAGTTTGCAAATTTTGGTCAAGCGCGTTGACTGCTAATTAATGAACTGGCTACACAGCACTTCTGAGTGGCTCTGTTGTCACGGCTCCTTAAGGCTGCCTGTGTCAGAAGGTCGTTGTCAACATAGCTATAACCTTCGAATTGTGTTGTTTATCCAGTATAATCAAAGCTCGGGCTGTTTGCAACTTTATCCGGTCTCTTTCTGAGATTGCCTCTATTATTGCTATTCTTAGCTCTTTCGGTAAAGTCACGTTGAAGGGAAACAAAATAATAAAATAAATATAAAACAATAAAAATTCTCACGACGTTTCGACCATAACACAAACGGTCGTCATCACACCTGATGTTTTATATATATTTTATTCTTTTATTGTTTCCCTTCAACTTGACTTTACCGAAAAAGCTAAGAATATGAATTACTGTAGTCACGAAAGCTTTAAATCAAAATCTATTATTGCTGTTTAACACATCGTCATCCTGTTTGCATGCCGGGTTATATAAAGTCATAAAAAAAATTGGAAAGCAATACTTCCTCTTTCAGGGATTTCCAGAATTCCAGCCATAAGGACACACATTGTGAATACAGTATTCCAATTTCTCCCAGGCTGCTCCTGCAGTTTCGGTGTCGGAGTGCTTGATTCATTTGGGGATATGGAAACCTCCATCACCGCAATTCACACCTCATCGTTGTCCACCAATAGTCAAATATGTAATTAATAGCCACATGAACTGGCACCACTGAGATCCTGAGTTCCAATCAGAATCAGACTTTATTTAGACTGGAGGAATCCGATGAGCTATGAAGCTCTTTTTCACACATGTCCAGTGGGGGCAGGTCAGCAAGGTATAACAATACGAAAATATCGATAAGAGTGCAAAATACAGAAAAGTCACTAAAAAGAAAGTATATAGATACAAATTTCACAAGTACATAAATCTCTACAGATTTTTCAACAAATACAAGCTCGGGCAAGGCAGCAAAACAACAACAGCCTCAAACCCCACCAAGACAAAACACAGTACCTCAAAATTGCAGATTAAAATTGAACTATTCATTCAGGAGAGCCTCATTGGCTGAGTTTAAAGACGCTCTTCCAACAGGGCCTTGCCTGGACTGGGATGTTTGGCAGCGTTAACTTTGTCAACGTGAGTTATTTAATTTTGTCGTGAATTGGTAGGGGGGATGCGTAGGTTGCCAGTCTTCGCGGTGTGTGTCACGTCACATTCATGTTCGTCGCGCGGCCTTGACTTGACCTCTCATTGCCAGTGTTCACGTGACCCAAGAGACGAATATCGGCCACTTGTAAATACACTGGGTTCTCAAATAAGTATGGTAAGTTGACGCTACAATAAACTCCACATTAAATTTGGTTCCGCCCTTAATTTCCCCCAAATTCCAGATATGACAAAAAGTAACGGTCATCATGTGATGACAATCTCGATTTTCACAAATGATTCAGTACAACTTGGCAGCCTGAAACAAGCCCCACCATCACCTTCACTACAAATGAACAATTAGTGCTTTGTCAACAGTATTTACATAACCTACCCACTTGTTATTCCGGGTAGCCCTGTAGTTAGTACATGACTCACAATAGAAAAGTTACGATTTAAATTCCAGATTTGGTATTGATTCAGCCCATATTGCATTTGGCATTCATAATTGAGTGCTACTTTGTTGGAATTCGACAGTGGTCGTCCTATGGTTATTCTGTCTTCCACATGAAAATGTTTAATTTCTGCCTGGCCTGATGGCTTCATTTGGTGATAGCGATTAATGTTTATTTGAGCAAAAGATTTTTCTTGGCAAATGAACCAAGAGCCTCCTCATGTTCCCATCTTTGCCTCCCTCTTCTAACTAAATACTCCGTAATGTTAAAGCCAATCCATCTTCCATGATAGATGTCTAAGTACGATGTCATGTTCACAGCCTTAGTAGTGATATCCGTCAACTTTTCCCAGTCCTCAATCATACGGATAATCTGGTTTTGGTTTAAGCTAATCCAGTCAGCAATATTTTATTTTTAAATAATGGTAAATTAAATGTGATGAAGACACCAATGGCGTCATATGAATAAGCTTGGATTGTGTGGGAAAGCATGCTGACTGACAAGGGGAGAAATGAGGAGACCTGGTAACCTGTGTGCCGCGGTGGCTAGGAGATGTTATCTCCCTCGCCTGGTATGCTGGAGGTCTTGGGTTTGGCCCCAACCCTGACGCCTGCATATTTGGAATTTGAATGTTCTCCACATGGTCGCGTGGATTTTTCTCCAGGTCCTCCGGTTTTCCCTTCCACATTTAGAAACATGCTTTTAGATTAGTTGGCTGCTATACATCTCTACATGTTACGCCACTTCGTTGAGATATGATTTATCGCCAGGTCGCTTCTGAAAAAGAGATAATTGCTCAGTGGGCTTCACCTGGTAAGTAAAAGGAGTTTTTTTGGAGGTGTAAAACTGGCGGTTGCGAAGACCTGCTCGAGGGTGTTCAGATAACATCTGGACAATGTGAATGGATGTATCCGGGTAGAAGACTGATGAGAGTCGTTGAAATTTAATTTTAACATTATTGCTAAACAAAAATGTTTTTGTATGCAATCTGCTGACGCTTCAAACACTCTGCATGCATATATTTTGAACTCTTCGAATATGTAAAAACAGCTGTCAAAGTGCTGTCATTTATAGAAGTACAGTATAAAGTATGTGCAATGACAAACACATATTTGACATTTATATGTACAGGGTGGTCCAAATTCCTTGTGGTCCCATGTAATTATCTTAAACTTAATGTAGGTAAGGATCGCTTGCCTGCAGATGCATTCCACATCAGTCTTCTCGGCCTGAAGAAAGGCTAACACCGAGAGTTACGGTGCCCCAAGCAGTTGTTTCACATTTGTTTCAGTATAGACCGATTGTGTGCGAGCTTCATGGCCTCATATATAGCGTGGTACTGTAGCAGAGCGCTGGACTTTCTACAATCCCTCAATGGTCGATACAATCCGTACTAATTAGTGGAAAATTAAAAGCAGTTGCCTTATCGATACACTGGTCCCCACCATGGGAATGAGTAACTTTTGCCACTGGTTTAGGTCCACAGACAATTGTCGATTAAATTCTTGTATGAACCATATTTCACCACGCTGATCAGTGTGGGCTGAAGATGGGGAACACATACACATATGTGGGAGCATAGAAAGTACACTACAACGGTGGATGTTTATGCACTGCCCTCTGCTGCCCACCACATGGTAGTTACCCATTCAAGCACCATGCAGACTCAGCCCTGTGCCCTATTTATCTTCTGATGAGAACGAACACATTCTGGGTGATTTGGTGATAACGAGCACTGATTAATTAACCTCTCGAATTAATAATTTAATTTGAGGAGAGATCTGGACAATCGTGAATTCGGACAGGCGTTATTTAAAAAAATAAGTTGAGGTTTGGGCTTTGACAAGCAAAGGTAAAACATGATTTCTGTTGAAACAAGAATTTAGTTGACACGTCTTGTTTGGCCACCTTAAACCAGTGGTGGAAATTACACATCCCCATAGCAGGGACCAGTCTCCCATCAGGTAACGGCTTTTGATGTTTCACTATTTGGTGCATATTTGATCAGCCCTGGAGGAATTATGGTCAGTCGAGTGCTCTGCCACAAAAAACACTTGTTCAAATAACCCCCACGACCCACATAGCATGGAGAGGCCCTAATTGAGCAGTCGATTGACAAATAGTATCCGTCCACATGTACGTGTTCTTGTCACCAGATCTAATATTTAAAAAATTCAGTAGGTGGCAGTAGAGTGCGTGAAGTCACTCAGCAAGTCTGGTGTGACAGTGCCTCATGCGTTTAGAATTACATTGGAAATATTGTGCAAATTTCTGATAAAGAGTGCAGTGAACATTAGTAATCGATGACAGAGGATGACGAGGTTTTGATTTTAATGACAACGGAAATCATGATAGCAAATATTATTATGGCACGAGCTTGTTTGCCCATCCTAGGACGGAAGCTGTAATATTTACGAGAAAATTGAGCAGAGTATAATTGTATCTTGTGTAAATTTAATGGCAGTCAATCTTGCACAAAAGTACGTCATCAAACACTTCACTGCATTTCACAGTAGCACTGTATTAATGGCAGTGAATCTGGCACAAAACTATGTCATAAAACACCTCACTTCATGTCACTGTAGCACCGTATATAATTGATCAATTTGTTCAAATTCACTGTTCTGACACTTTATTCTCTTCTGCTTTCGGTCGCTCGGGTTGAAATAAAGTGGAATTCGATACAATATCTGGAAAAATCACTGAAAAATGTCTATTTTACTATAATGTAGAAGCATAAATTAGACTTTCCTTTTGTCTCAAGTGAAGAAATAAATAAAGACACCAAATACACTTTATTGCTGCGGATAATAATTTATTAGATTCACTTTCAATAAAGAAACGTCAAACTTAAAGCGAATTTGCGGAAAAAAAATATTTCCGCTCGACCTGCGTGAGTGTAAAAATCCACCTGCTCATGAATATTCATGACGGGCGGGGGGGGGGGTGCGGCATGTGGAGTGACGTCACGCGCGTTACACACAAACACATTCTTGGCTCATTATAGTAGTAATGCCTTTTCACGCAGATTCAAGCAAGGGGAACAAGGATGACTGGCTGCATAACGGTGGCGAATGCCTTTGTAGCATTATAATGCTTGGAATTGTTTGTTTGTGGAACGAGAAGGATACGT